ATAAATCCCATAGGTTCCACCAATACTTTAAGATATCGTGAGGATCCCCAATTGGTAGCGATAACCAAGGGACACATACATACTTTGACACTGGCCAGGTGCTTCTGAATTATTTAATATCAAAACAAGTGACAACACTAGGATCCGCCCTCTATCAATGAATAAACAATTAAAATTTAAATTGAAAAAGACCCATTCAAATAAATTACTATCTTAAAGATCCCTCCAATGTAAGTTATATTCCCAGGCCGCTTAGATTGGAAAAAACAAAGAGCTCACTCTTAAAAGATAAATAAACCACGAGCAGTACTTCACGCCAATTGTCAAATCTTATCTCAAATAAATAAACAAACAAACGCCAGACATTCTGTCACCTCATCTCCGCCCCCCCCCCCCCCCTCCCTCATGTTCAGATAAAAAATTAAGATTTCTATATTATTTTCCATATAATATACTCCAGACTAAAATTATGATAAATAATTGCATTGCTGAAATCCTCAAACAAATTAATTTGAATATAAACGCCATATATATTTGTCTCCAAATACAAAAAATGTAATACATAATACATACAAAATAGTACATTTTATAAAAAATTTTTTCAAATCAACTTTTAAAATAACAAATTTCCATTTATTTTCACCCATTTAACACACACACCCCTACCAAAATAGTAAAAAGCAAATTAGCGAAAAGCTGACTGCATGTACTCAATTTGATTTCACACTAAAAATTGTTATGTCTAGTGCATTACATGTTTATATTCAAATAAATCAATATCTTACAAAAAATCCAGCTATATAAATATATTTTCCAAAGACATATCACAAGAATAAAATAAGAGAAACTAGCAGAATGCTAAACAACACACAGAGATATTCACCTCAAACATCACCAACCCCCCAACCTCACTGGCTGGCTGGTTCTTCGCCCATACCCCTCCCTCCCCCACAGCCAGGCTTAGGCACAGTTTTATCATATAACATCTCAGACCAAAATAAGAAATTATAATTTGCATTGCTGGAATCCTTACCAAAGACAGCCAATAATTTGAATACACAAACGCCATATATTTTGCTCAAAAAGACAAAAAATTTGCATCATTGTAAAGTACTGTAATTACATTTATAAAGTTTTTCAACCGCATTTTGCAGATTTACATAGATCTTCAGTAAAGCTGAGCACGTACTAATTTGATTAATTAATAAAATTTGTCACAATAGTGCAAATTATAGCATGTTTATATTAAATTAATCAGTATGTTACAAGAATCCCAGCATGTTAATTATATTCACCCAGGTCATTTTCACTGGCTTTTTATAAGAAGCTTAGTCACCTAAAAAAAAATAAATATACAGCGATTAGATCCTGGACCTGTCAAATTCAATCCAATATACTACCTCCTCCACGCCCCGCTTCCCCCTCCTCTCTCTCCCCCATCTGCCCGGCGTTGCTGGAATCCTTGTAAAACAGTGAATAATTTTAATATAAGCGTCATGTATTTACACAGAGATAACAATTAATCACCTGTATCACATTACAGTAGTGATTTAGAGTAAAGGCATATATATGCGCATATAGTATTCACATACCACGAAGTATAAATAAAAAGTTCAAGTGAACGGACCCCATTAGATACCTATCAACGTCCAAGAACCGATCTAGGGCTAATCAACCGCATAACTGTATATATATATATATATACCCAAAAAATACAGTGTTGAGAATGGTTCAACAAGTATTGCAGGGAAGGACAAGAATATGGCAAGGGTGTCTCATTCACAGACACATATCATATTTTTCCTTCGCCAATGATTTGACTTTGAATTTCATGAATTTTGTTCTCATTTTAATTATGCACGAACAAGTTGTTTTGAGTGTATTGATCAAGTTTCTTAGAAAATTCCAGATATCCTTGAGAAGTAAAGCCAAGCTTGACAAACTAGACCAGCTGTTAATCCAGTTCTAAAAAAAGAAACAGAAAAAAAAAGATACAAACAATGGAACAGACTATTAAGACAATGGAGAATAAACTAAAAAGGCAACATAGAATGACCAGAGAACATGGTTCAAAACAGATGAAGAAACCAAACAAAAGAGAGACTTTTCCTCAAGATACATGAACATAGTGAGGTAACCTAGTGCAAAATTCATTATTTTTACAGGTCAGTTCCTACCTCACTTACAACCCTTATTCTTCATTAACGAAAATGGCCAGAGTCAAAACCACACCAGTCTCCTTCTTTCTTTCTATTTGCTTAATAAAAGAGATGATGTGTCTCTTCACAACAGGTGGTCCTTCCTACATATTGCTGCACCACAAATGCAATTTGTCCTTTTCAAAAATCATTCAAAATACTTTATTCTATTTTCAGTTTAATGAAATAGAAAAATATGATTCACAGGTACAGTATTTAATTCACCTTGAGGATATTGTCTGGTTTAGTTTGGTAATATTAAGTCTAGAGATTTCTTTTCCTTTACTTCCCTTTGTTTTTGTTTTTTGTTTTATGAATCCAAACAGAGATACAGAACTTTCTCAGATATACAGCATTAGAGCTTTGCCCTATCATACATGAATTACTTATGCACTGTGTGATTTGATTGATGTAAATTATTCTGGCTAAATTCCTCCTATCATAGAATGCACATGAAACAAATCCAGAATGAGGCCATAGCTGTATTCCAAATATTAGAAAACCTAGAAAACTCACTACCCAGACTTAACCAGTGTTTTATGTAATGATTCTCTAGCATGGGAATGGAGTTTGGTGATTTGGAACCTCTGCCCTTGGCAACCCAGTGATACTTGTAGTTCATCATCTAGTCGGACATCCTTGATAAATTTAAAGGATCGATAGCTTTATATAGCCGTTACCTGGATTGACCGACTTGGGACTGCCTGCCTTTGATGAGCTTAGGATGGTTCCTTTCATTTTTACTTTAGAACTGGCTATGGATCAGTTTGGTGGGTAGGATTGCTCCCAGTTGAACGGAGTGTATTAGTGCCTCCTACCCTTTCTTTTTATAGCTATCCTTTAATACAGTTAAAATTACTTGACCCTGAAGTAACAATTAGTGGATGGATCATGAAATATTTTAAATCACATCCTCCCATACTATTATGAGTATCTGACATGGAGGCTTTGTAAGTCATTTCTACTTTATTTTAAAATCAAAGTGAAATGGAACATTGTATCTGTGCTCGGCTTAAAAATCTCTTCAGTTTTTACTCCTTAAGAAGCCCCTAAGCCCATGGGTAATCCTCATACAGTAGAGTCTGGCATGAAGTGGAAGGATAATACAAATTTTGAGTTTATTTGATTTTTAGATCCTGGTTAAACAAGTTGGGGTCTGGGGTTTGACCCCCTAGACTCACTTGATTTACAGAGTTGTTCAATTCAGACTCTTCAGCGTGAATTCTGAACAGTGATTTGAGCTCAGCTCAAGCGTGCAGATAGGTTCCTCGATCTGAGATTTCCTGCAGTGGATTACCCATGTTCAGAACAACAGCTGACTAAATCAGGTTATGCTGCATTTTCTTCCATTATGAGCAAGGATTCAAAGACTGAAGTTCAATAATCACGTTTCATTACACCATACAACAGCCAATCACCATCGAGCAATGTTTACAAGATTAAATGAAACTATGACTAAACGATTTTTCTGGAGAAGAAATCTCTCCTTGTAAGATTAGGTGGTGAAAATGGCATCATAAAAGCAAAAGATGAACATGAATCTATAATAGACAAATTAAAAATGGAAGCATATAATTGAAACAATACAACTCAGAAGTGTCCAGCACGAACAATTGTATAAAATGCAATATTGTTTTATATTTTCACAAATATCCTGGAGTACTGGATATTATAATCACAGGACAATGAAATACAGGTACAGAGTTAAGTACATGAGCACATCATAAGTTACTTTTTTGCTATAATTACAATCAAATTATGATCAAATTATAATTATTTTTGGTACTGTGTTACAACATGGCTGTGTTGTTATATGATAACAAAGAAATTCATAGAGGAAGAACAATTACATTCACCAAAGCAAGGTGAATCAATGCAGAGTGTAGTAACCTGGCTAGGTATAGTTAGATTAGGTGTCTTACTGTTCTTTTAACCCCCACACTTCCCCTCATTAGTAATGTTAAGAAAAGACTTACCTTTATTAATACTTTAAAATTAAAATGCACTCAACATTGATTCAATCATTTTGAAAATACATCAAATTAGTTTTCCCTCGATCTTCATGGACCCTAAACACAAAAGTGTTGTAACACATTACCTTAACTCATTCAGTAACCAGAATCTTTCTTACCTGGAAACTATTCGTTGCAAAAAATCTCAAAGCCATCATCAGATGATGAATGGGAGTAAGAGGTGAACCATAGCCAACAGGTCTCAAGTAGGTACTCCATATCCGCGGAAATATCAAGGAGATCTCTCTTGCTGAACCTATATCGTTGTGCAGATTGTGTGTCACCATAAAATTTATAGAGTTCTGCCTATCAACCATCAGTCTTTTTTTCCAAAATTTCCAATTTGATGATAAAAGCGGCGTGCTCTGTCAAAATATGTTGACTTGCTATCTTGAATGATGGATCGACACTAAACCTGCCTCCAGGCTGGATTAAAGCGAGGATCGAAAAATCCAGTCTCAAACCGGTTGAATCTTTGTGTTGGCTCAAGCCAGCATTCTGAATACCAACAATCTTTAATCTTTGCTCGATCCTTGGTTTAAACATTCTTGCGGTTTCAAGCCACCATTCTGAATTAAGGCCTTAGAAAATGGGTTTTCAGAATAAATCCGTCATTTCTTACTTAAGAGCTAATGTGAAGTGTTCAGCATGCATTAAGTGTTGCCTTTAACTACCGGAATTTGTTTTCAAATAAAGAAGGTAATTTAAACTAATTTTAGGGAGGATGCTGTAAAAACACCATACTGTAATTATGGCAGTGTATACCGGTAAGTCATGAGATAAAGAGACATCATAAATAGTATTGATGATTGTACGATTAATATTTTTTTTCTATTTTGGAACAGAAAATTCAGCAAAAGCTATTAAACAGAGGAAGCCTGGAAAGGCTCAGAAGAGAAAGAGACATGAACTAAATGAGAATGATCCTAATGACAGGCGCATTATGAAGGAGATGAATTTCTCAACTTACTCACCAAAAGCGACTAAACTTCAACGCCTTAATACTGTACAAGAGGAACAGGAAACAGTAAAGACTGGTGAGTTATTTTTTTCTCAGTTTGTTCTAAATTGGCAGTTTAGATAAAATATTATTTGATATACAGTGGTCCCTCGGTTAACGAGCACAATCCGTTCCAGCAGGTTGCTCGTTAACTTAAAACCACATATTTCAATAGGGTTTTGGGAATTGGTTCCAGCTCACCGAAAATTTACTAAATTCAACAAAATAGGCGAAAAAGTACACTTACTTTGGGGTGTGTATGTGAAAGGCTCCTGGATGATGATGATGGAATTATAATGAAGTGGAGAGGGAGAGAAAGGCATTGGGGTGGAAGAGAAGTCACCCATGGTGCTATCTTCACCCATAAAATTTTAGTTCTCTTGGTGTAATTCAAGATTATTTTCTTTAAATCAACACTGCACTGCATTATATATTGTCAATATGTAAAATAAATTTCAAAATGACCAATAATTTGCTTGGAAACACAGAAAAAAGCGTTTAGTTGAAGAGTCTCCACTGAAAGAAAGAGAGAGAGACCCAAGCCTGTTTGTGTTAACAGGCTGAGATGGCAAGAAACTAGTTTTCCTTACCTTCAATTATGATCAATAATTGTTAAAATGACTAAAAAATTAATATTAAACTTTTAGGATTATTGAATAGTATAAACTTCTTGATATTTACTAAAATAGTAAGGAATTTAAGCCCTAAAACCGATTACTGTATTGGCAGATAATACTACAGCTGGTGGACCGCCAAATGCAAGCGAAAACATGTTGAAGTGCGACATAAAAACTTCGTTATTGAGGATTGCTCGTTAACGAAGTTAAGAATCTTATGGAAGGTAAATCGTTAACGAAATCTCGTTAACGAGGACCACTGTAATGTATTGCCACTTCATTTGTTTTGTGTACAGTGGTCCCTCGGTTAGCAGCGCCGATATGAGATAACTAACCCGACCATGATTATAACAACCACAACTATGATTATAAAAACCACGACTAAGATTATAACAACCACGACCATGATTATAACAACCACAACTATGATTATAAAAACCACGACTAAGATTATAACAACCACGACCATGATTATAACAACCACGAATATGATTACTTCTAGAACTAACAGTTATAACAACCATGACTATGATTATAGCAACCACGACCATGGTTATAACAACCAGACTATGATTATAACAACCATGACTATGATTATAACAACCACGACTTTGATGATAACTAGCACGACCATGATTATAACAACCCGACCATGATTATAACTACGTACGACCATGATTATAACAACCACAACCACCAGTTATAACAACCCACGACCATGATTATAACAACCCACACGACTATGATTATAACCCACGACCATGATTATAACCGACCATGATTCCACGACCATGATTATAACAACCCGGCCATGATTATAACAACCCATCGTTTACTAACAACCACGCCGCTGATTATAACAACCACAACCATGATTATAACAACCACAACCATGATTATAACAACCCACGACCATGATTATAACAGCCACGACTATGATTATAATAACCACGACCATGATTATAACAACCACAGCCCAGTTATAACAACCACGACCATGATTATAACAGCCGACTATGATTATAACAACCCGACTTTGATGATAACAACCACGACCGCCCAGTTATAACAACCCGACCGCCCGATTATAACTAACTAGCACGAACCCAGTTATACCACGACCGCAGATTATAACCGACCATGATTATAACAACCACGACCGCCAGTTATAACTAGCACGACCATGATTATAACAACCACAACCATGATTATAACAACCACGACCATGATTATAACAACCCACGACTATGATTATAACCCACGACCATGATTATAACCACGACCATGATTATAACCACGACCATGATTATAACAACCCACGGCCATGATTCATAACAACCACGACCATGATTATAACAACCACGGCCGCCAGTTATAACAGCCACAACCATGATTATAACAACCACAACCATGATTATAACAACCCGACCCTGATTATAACAGACCCACGACTATGATTATAATAACCACGACCATGATTATAACAACCACAACCATGATTATAACCACGACCATGATTATAACAGCCGACTATGATTATAACAACCATTATGATTATACACGACTTTGATGATAACAACCACGACCATGATTACAACAACCGACCATGATTATAACTAGCCGACCATCATTATAACAACCACGACCATGATTACATAACCCACGACCGTGATTATAACAACCCGTCCGCGATTATATCAACCCACGACTATGATTATAACCACGACCATGATTATAACAACCACGGCCGCCAGTTATAACAACTCGACCATGATTATAACAACATGACCGCCAGTTATACGACCACAACCATGATTATAAACGACCACCATGATTATAACAGCCACGACTATGATTATAATAACCACAGCCATGATTATAACAACCACAACCATGATTATACAACCACGACCATGATTATAACAGCCACCGCCAGTTATAACAACCACAACCATGATTATAACAACCACCACAACCATGATTATAACAACCAACCCGACCATGATTATAACAGCCACGACTCACGATTATCACCCACGACCATGATTATAACAACCACGACCTTAATTATAGCAACCACGACCATGGTTATAACACCAGACTATGATTATAACAACCACGACTATGATTATAACAATCAGGAATTTGATGATAACAACCACGACTATGGTTATAACAACCACGCCCATGATTATAACAACCACGCCCATGATTATGACAACCACGACTATGATTATAACAACCACGACCATAATTATAACAACCGACCATGATTATAACAACCACGACCATGATTATAACAACCCACCGACTATGATTATAACAACTCGACCATGATTATAACAACCACGACCATGATTGTAACAACCATGACCATGATTATAACAACCCACGCCATGATTATAACAAACCGACCATGATTATAAGTAGCACGACCGCATTATAACAACACGATTATGATTATATCACCCGACCGCCAGTTATAACAACCCACGACCATGATTATAACCCACGACCATAATTATAACAACCACGACCATGATTATAACAAACACGACCATGATTATAAGTATACGACCATGATTATAACAACCACGATTATGATTATATCACCCACGACTATGATTATAACAACTCGACCATGATTATAACAACCGACCATAATTATAACAACCACGACCATGATTATAACAACCCGACCACGATTACAACAACCCACGACCGCAGTTATAACAACCACGACCATGATTATAACAACCATGACCATGATTATAACAACCATGACCATGATTATAATAACCCACGACCATGATTATAATTAGCACGAACGCAATTATAACAACCACGACCATGATTATAACACCCGACCACAGTTATAACACCACGACCGCATTATTATAACCCGACCATGATTATGACACCCGACTATGATTATAATAACCACGGCCATGATTATAACAACCACGGCCGATTATGACACCCGACCGATTATAACACCCACGACCACGATTATAACAACCCACGACCATGATTATAACAACCACGGCCATGTTTATAAAAAACCACTGCCATGATTATAACAACCACATCCATGATTATAAAAACCACGACCATGGTTATAATAACCAGGACCATGATTATAACAACCACAGCTATGATTATAACAACCACGACTATGATTATAACAAGTATTTATAACAAACTAATGACCATGATTATAACAAACCACACCATGATTATAACACTCCACGACCATGATTATAACAACCGCGACCATGATTATAAACACCCACGACCATGATTATAACAACCTACGCACCATGATTATAACAACCACGCACTAGCGATTATAACAACCACTTACCATGATTATGACAACCACGGCCATGATTATAACAACCACGGCCATGATTATGACACCCACGACCATGATTATAACACCCACGACCATGATTATAACAACCACGACCATGATTATAACAACCACGGCCATGTTTATAACAACCACTGCCATGATTATAACAACCACATCCATGATTATAACAACCACGACCATGGTTATAATAACCAGGACCATGATTATAACAACCACAGCTATGATTATAACAACCACGACTATGATTATAACAACCATGATTATAACAACCACGACCATGATTATAACAACCGCACTGACGATTATAATAACCACCGCCCATGATTATAACAACCACGACCATGATTATATCAACTACCGACCATGATTATAATAACCAGGACCATGATTATAACAACCACGACCATGATTATAACAACCACGAACATTATAACAACCAGGACCATGATTAAACAAACCATGACCATGATTATTACAACCACGACAATGATTATAACAACCACGACCATGATTATAACAACCACGAACATTATAACAACCACGAACATTATAACAACCAGGACCATGATTAAAACAACCATGACCATGATTATTACAACCACGACCATGATTATAGCAACCATGACCATGATTATAGCAACCATGACCATGGTTATAACAGCCAGTCTATGATTATAACAACCACGACAATGATTATAACAACCACGACTTTGATGATAACAACCACGACCATGATTATAACAACCACGACCATGATAATAACAACTAGGGCCATGATTAAAACAACCACGACCATGATTATAATAACCACGACCATGATTATAACAACCACGAGCATGATTATAACAACCAGGACCATGATTATAGCAACCACAACCATGATTATAACCACGACCATGATCACAACAACCACGTCCATGATCATAACAACCACGAACATGATTATAACAACCACGACCATGATTATAACAACCACGACCATGATTATAACAACCACGACTATGATTATAACAACCACGACCATGATTATAACAAACCATTCAATTAATAATATAACAACCACGACTATCATTATAACAAACGACCATATGCTTATAACAACCAATGCACATTATAACAACCACGACCATGATTAATAACAACCATGACCATGATTATAATTAGTACCAACCATGATTATAATAACCAGGACCATGATTATAACAACCACAACTATGATTATAAAATCCACTCTACTAAGATTATAACAACCACGCACCATGATTATAACAACCACGACTATGATTATATCACCCACCGACCATGATTATAACAACCACAACTATGATTATATCACCACTACCATGATTATAACAACCACTCCATGATTATAGCAACCACGACCATGGTTATAACAACCAGACTATGATTATAACAACCACGACTATGATTATAACAGCCACGACCATGATTATAACTAGCACGACCACAACTATGATTATAAAAACCACGACTAAGATTATAACAACTACGGCCATGATTATACCAACCATGACTATGATTATAAAAACCAAGACCATGATTATAACAACCACGACCATGATTATAACAACCACTACTATGATTATAACAGCCACGACCATGATTATAACAACTACGACCATGATTATAACAACCAACCACGACCATGATTATTACAACCACGACTATGATTATAATAACCACGACCATGATTATAACAACCACGCCCATGATTATAACAACCACGACCATGATTATAACAACCACGACCATGGCAACCACGACCATGATTATAACTATAACGACCATGATTATCATAACCAGGACCATGAGTATAACAACCACAACTATGATTATAACAACCACGACTATGATTATAACAACCACGACTTTGATTATATCACCCGCTACCATGATTATAACAACCATGACCATGATTATAACAACAACGACCATGATTATAACAACCACGACTATGATTATAACAACCACGACTATGATTATAACAACCACGACTATGAATCGGCTGCTTGTGCAATTAACCAGGCCGTTCACATATATTTATTATTTGGGTTTAAGTAACGAAACCCAAACGGTAGTTCCTTGTTTTATTATAAAAGGGTTGCATATATAATTCCTGAGTGTAGATCGACCGTAAGTCCCACTGTATAGGAGTGAATGAGAAAGGGACGCGTTTATGTATTATAAACGCTATTCACGCCCTTACGATATAAGTTGATGTGGAGCGACCATGAGTAGTGACCCATCGAGGAGAACGGTATGGGTACGCCGTTCTCCCAGGGAAGGACGGAGCCATCCACCGCGACTCTCAAATAACGCCTTCCTCTAGTAGAGGATATCAAACTACTGCTCGCTTCAGGTGGCCAGAGAGCCGCTACTTATGCCTTTACTCAGCATAGTATGACGCAGCTTCCCGTGGGCACACCTTATCACGTGCATTGAACATGTCACCTCATAGCCAGTGGAAAGTTACAGGGTGGTGAATCTGAATATAATATCAGATGTATTGACCCATTTATATAATATGTTCTGTTGATGAGACAGGGGCCCATTACAACTATGATTATAACAACCACGACCATGATTATAACAACCACGACCATGATTATAACTAGCACGACCATGATTATAACAACCACGACCATGATTATAACTAGCACGACCATGATTATAACAACCACAACTATGATTATATCACCCACGACCATTATTATAACAACCAGTACCATGATTATAACAACTACGACCATGATTATAACAACCACAACTATGATTATGACAACCACGACCATGATTATATCAACCACGACCATGATTATAACAACCACGACCATAATTATAACAACCACGTCCATGATTGTAACAACCACGACCATGATTATAGCAACCACGACCATGATTATAACAACCACTTCACCATGATTATAACAACCACGACCATGATTATAGCAACCATGACCTTGATTATAACAACCATGACCATGATTATTGTTCGTGTTCTGGGTAATAAGTTCAATATACAGGAGCGAACACAAACACCTGTATAGATTTTGTAGGTTCGATTTACTGGATAAGAGATATGTACACAAGGGGAGTACCGCTCCTCAACCTGTCTGCTCGTCAACTGCTCTATAGACGACGTATGGCAAGTGATACATTAACAGCTTCCATACGCCGCCAGGCACATTAATTAGGCATGTGACATCTTAAATATATTGCCACACGCCACTAGCTAGGCTGAATAAATAATATATATAAATGGAGCACATACATAATATACATACATAATATATAATACAGCATACATAATATACATACAATTATAACAACTAGGCCATGATTAAAGCAATCATGACTATAATTATAATAACCAGACCATGATTATAACAACCACGACCATGATTATAACAACCACGACCATGATTATAACAACCACGCCATGATTAAAGCAACCGCGACTATAATTATAATAACCACGACCATGATTATAACAACTGCGACTATAATTATAATAACCAACTTAACTATGATTATAACAACCACGACCATGATTATAACAACCACGACCATGATTATAACAACCACGGCCATGATTATAACAACCACAACCATGATTAAAACAACCACTAATTATGATTATAACAACCACGCCATGATTATAAACAACCACGCACTATGATTATAGCAACCACGGCCATGATTATAACAACCACAACCATGATTATAACAACCAAAACCATGATTATAACAACCACAAACCATGATTATAACAACCACAACCATGATTATAACAACCACAACCATGATTATAACAACCAACCACGACCATGATTATAACAACCACGACTATGATTATAATAACCACGACCATGATTATAACAACCACGACCATGATTATAACAACCACGACCATAATTATAACAACCACGACTATGATTATAACAACCACAACCATGATTATAACAACCACGACCATGATTATAACTACCACGACCATGATTATAACAACCACGACCATAACAACCACGACCATCTGGAAAACGATGTCGCTTGACGCTGTCAGCCGGCCGGCGGTTTGGCTAGCCAAGCACGAGCGTCAACTTTCACGCCTCGGTAAACTGTACCACCGGGCACGAAGGGCCCACGATCATTTGTTGTACTCTATAAACTTTGTGTTTCTCTGTGAAATGGTCCCTAAAACACTGCCTAGTGTCAGTGATGACCCTGACAAAGAAAGTTGAATTATTAGATAAGTTAAAAGAGGGGATGAGTGCTGCCGCAGATGGTCGGTTGTTTGAGTAGGTATACAGTAGTGCACTCTGGGAGTATAAGTTTCTCTTCGCAATTTTGCCTATTTGCACCATTCCTTGGAACCCAACCCTGCGAAAAACAAGGGTTTACTGTATTCAATCTAACATACCTATATTATGATATTTTAGGGGATAATATCTAATTTGTATTGATCTGTGATGATTTCTGCACGTGGGGAAGCAAAAGATGGCATGTGAAATGCTCTGGTAATGTAAATATCTTAAGGCCTTAAACACATCATGATGTAAATCGCACACAAATCATTGAGTAGCACTATTTGCATCGATGACAGAAATCCCATCATTAAGCTTTAAAAAATCCGCCAAAAGTTTTATAAGATACTTACTGTACATACAATTTTCGTACATCATAGATGCCATCATGATCTTGTGAGGTAAGCTTCCAGAAAGTACCAAAGCATGGGTGTAGTTCTGCTGTCCATCAATTTCCTCCCCTCAACCATGCTGGTAGGTTACAATATTTTGTCCCTTTATATCCTCCCCACAATTAGTCGTAACAAAATTCCAAAGCCACCGTTAGAAAGCTCATAAAATTCCACTTGGTAGGTTTGTGAGAAAATATCCGAAATATGATGCTGGGAACACAAATATTTTTTCTTTACTCAGAGTGAAATTGTCTTCTTCTCTTCTCTCATTATTTTCTACTCATAAAAATAAAATATATAATAAATCTTGTGGGATAAATTGGCCACAGAACAAAGATGACCAGACCTCATGAGAGTGGTACCATATGAATTTTGTCATAATCACAGAAACTTAAAAACTTGTTGCATGCACGAGAGGAGAACAAGAAAAAGAGTACAAAAATTTCAGTGACATCCTCCACCACACTGCGTGATGTTATGTTATGAAGAGGAGTTTACGCCCCAGAAGTTGTTATCGTGTTCGTGCTCTCCTTGTGATATTTTTATTACCGGAGCGTTTCACATGCAATTTTTTTCTTTCCCAATTGTGGAAATTATCAGAGATCAACATAGAATGGTTGTTATCCCATAAAGTGTCATAATTTAAATATGATAGATTAAATAATGAAGATCTGTAGTGTTTAAATAATGAAGATCTGTAGTGATTCTTTGAGTGTCCACCCGCCAACCAATCAGTTGCTTTGCTATAAACTGACCCTAGGCCTTAGTTGCAAGCTTCAAGTGAATAGACTAGTAACTGGAAAAGCCTGAGATATATTGTTATTAATGCTGTTTTAATTAATTTTTCCAGTTGTGGTAGCAAAGAAGAAAAGGAAACAAGGACCTAAGTCTTCATTTGACAAGGAACTGACCAGCACTGATAGAAAATCTGTTAAAAAATTCCGAGCTGGACCATCATACCAGGAACGAAAGGATGCATTCCATTCAAAAAATCCCGGAAAGAAGTTCAAACCTAAACGAAAGTAAAAATAGTTGAAAGCACACTGACAAGGTACAGTTGGCTTCACTCCCATGTTACCATTTTACGTTGCTAGTCCTCTCCCTGAAGTGTGAATTCGAAGCATTCACTAGTAAGCAGGAGGGAGAGGGAGGGTGTGTTTAGGTAGTTGTCTTTCTGTGGGTATTGGGGGTGAGGATGGAAAGTGTACATCAGCTGGGAAAAATAACTGTGGTTAAGTAAGGTGTTCCTTTGTAAAACAGGGCATTTATGTTCAAATGGATTATGTTGAATCTATATCTTGTAGAAGCAGTAAAGTTCTGTTTAACCCCATCAAAACAATCAGGAAGTGGGCACCACATATTTTATTATAATACAAATGATGTGAACAAAAAGCATTATCTATCTCAACTGATATACACTGGCCACTCTCACCCCTAGTATCACCTCCCCCCCCCCACCAACAGAGCTACGAATTCACATTTCACACCTCAAGGAGAGAGAGGATTGGCAACACTAAGTAGTAAATGCTGGAATGGAGCCAACTGTACTCTCTCAGGTCTGAGGGTTGGTGATTATGGTGCACCAGTCCAATATTTTGGGGGCAGTTTTTTCATTTATCTCCTCGGTCCTCTTTCCTTCCATTGTACTCATTTTTTTCAATATCACTTTTCCCTTATCTCTAAGTACATGGCCATAAAAATTTAATTTTCCTTGTTGTCTAAATTATGAGAATGTCTCTTGTTACTCTAGCCAGTCTTAGTACTTCTCCATTTGCTGTTCCATTGCTATAGCATATGTTCATTATTTGTAACAATTTGAGGGTCTCTGCCATCTTGGTGTCTGATGAATGGGTTCATTCTTTTGGCTCAGACAGTAGTACTGCCCATACATTGTATTTCAGCAACCTTTTTCTGAAACTAAGTTACTGTCTTTTAAGTTATAAGTCTCACTAAATTCACTACAATCTGCCCTTGGTATGTCATAGATCTGGTTACCAGGTTCTTGAATTAGAATACAGTTATTTAATTCCTGACAGTGTTATTATTATCCAGGGCCAATTTTCATGTATAAAGATGGATTGAGTGACACTGAAGCCATGAATTTGAAATATTAATATTGTTTTCTTTGCTAAAGTCACTTATCATTTCTCATCTTTCATTACAATTATTCAGCCTATGTGGTCTTACTTCTGGTCACCTTCCCCTTATTGCATTGGAATTAAAATCAATTACAGTACTATCATTAACATTCTTTGAAGTTTACTGCTTCTTTTGCTTTCTGTAAATACACATAGAACTTTTCTAAAACTTTACTTCTCACTCTTCACTATTATTACCAGATCCAGAGTTTTAATATTTAAATTACTGTAATCAGCATAACTCACTTTTAAAAGAACTTTCATCTTTCTTATGCTTAGCACTAACTAAATATTTGAATTAATATTTTCCCCATTGCAGTTTGAACCTACCTCTCTTACTTCACTTTTTCCTAAAGTATCCTGCTGTAACTTTTCACCTCCAAATTAAATTTTGCATGCTTCCCACTTTCATTTAATATCCCCACATTCCAAGGTCTTTTGTGAGTATTTGACCATTCTATTAAGCTTTTTGAATTATTATTCAATACAGGACATTAGATAACTCAGTAGCATGCTACCCACCAGCTTGGGATACAACTGGCTCAACAAGAATGCGCTCAAATTATCCTCAGTGGCTGTCCATGGTTTTTCTATGGTAAAGAACTGAAAAACACTCATCCAGAAGCTCAATGCCTTTCCTACCCATGGGAGTAAGCTGCCAGAGCAAACAAGAAAGTTAGGAATGCACTATAGTGGATATGCTTAGCTTAACCTCGCTGATAAAGGGCCAGCCAATCACATCTGAAGACAATAAAAAAGGAGCAACAGTTAGCTTATTGTTTTCTAAACACATCAAGGTAATCTTTACTAGTTAGTCTAACGCCTTGAGTGAAACTGCCTCTGTGTGATGTAAAAAACACCAGCTCTGTCATGTGCTACCAACAATACATTTACTCTATATTATGTAACAATTGCACTGATGATACATTAATGTTTTTAATATACAGGTATTTTAAAATGCTTTTGTTTGGTCTTTATCCTTGTAAATACAATACGTAAGTGATTTATATTCAAACCCTTACAATTATTCCCAAGAGATTGAGTATAGATTTACAATACTGTATACTGTATATAAACCCTACAGTCCACTTTATTTCTTCATCAGTATAGAAAATACATTTCTTACAGTAATTTGTCATGGTGTAAAAAAGATACAAAACAGGGTCCCAAAAGCATCACTTGGTTAAGCATGACATATAGCTCAGTGATGGTAAGCAGAGCTTAGTGAAAACTTCTCTCTGAAGTAGGCAATTGAGGACTGAATACAAAATGGATGATTAACTGAATTCGAAGTGGAGGTTGTGGCTGGTGCATTGTGTGTGTTGTATAGGTAGACATAGCTGACTTTGTTAACTCAGAATTTAGAGAGCAAGTTTTAAGGCCAATCTAATTTTTAGGGTGATAACTGTGATGGGGAAGGATTAGTTATTTTAGTAATCCTCAGCTACAAGATTGGGGAAAACTATATATATATATATATATATATATATATATATATATATATATATATATATATATATATATATATATAGTAAATATATATATATATATATATATAAATATCTATATATATATATATATATATATATAATATATATATATATATAATATATATATATATATATATAATATATATAATATATATATATATATATATATATATATATATATATATATATATATATATATATATATATATATATATATATATATATATATATATATATATGGCATGTGTGAAGAATATTTTTTTTTATTAACTGAAGATATTTGTTTTAGCTCATAAAATAATTTGACATTGCTGAATTTCATACTTGATGATCATTTTGAATATAAACATCATATATTTTGCATTAGACATAAAATTTTAGATATAATGTTTACTCTGAGTAAATATGTTATCTTTTTGCAAAAATATATGACATTTATATTCAAAATATTCCTGGTTTTACAAGGAATCCAGCAATGTCAATTATATTATCCTAACTTAATCTGAGGTATTATTTGATACTAAATGTTAAAATCTAGTTTTTTCACCCACCCTTTAGGGAGGGTTGGTGGGGGTGGGGGAGGTTGGGACGGACTGACCATCTGGCTGGTTGGAAGAGGGGGAGCAAGGTTACTTTGATTGACAGATAGTGTTGTGAAGAATATTTTTTTTTATTAACTGAAGATATTTGTTTTAGCTCATAAAATTCTTACAAATTACCCGACCAGAATATAATTTACATTGCTGGAATTCTTACTTGATGATCATTTTGAATATAAACATCATATATTTTGCATTAGACATAAAATTTTAGATATAATGTTTACTCTGAGTAAATATGTTATCTTTTGCAAAATATATGACATTTATATTCAAAATATTCCTGGTTTTACAGGAATCCAGCAATGTCAATTATATTATCCTAACTTTAATCTGAGGTATTATTTGATACTAAATGTTAAAATCTAGTTTTTTCAATCCACCTTTCCCTTGAAGGGAGGGTTGGTAGGTGGGGAGGGTTGGGACGACTGACCATCTGGCTGGTTGGAAGAGGGAGGGAGGCAAGGTGGGGTACTTGATTGACAGATAGTGTTGTGAAGAATATTTTTTTTTATTAACTGAAGATATTTGTTTTAGCTCATAAAATTCATACAAATTACCCGCCAGAATATAATTTACATTGCTGGCATTCTTACAATTTGATGATCATTTTGAATATAAACATCATAGATTTTGCATTAGACATACAAATTTTAGATGTAATGTTTACTCTGAGTAAATATGTTATCTTTTTAGAAAAATATATGACATTTATATTCAAAATATTCCTGATCTTACAAGGAATCCAGCAATGTCAATTATATTATCCTAACTTTAGTTTGAGGTATTATTTATTACTATATTCTCGGTTCCCCCAAATTTCTCAGAGGGAAGAGCCAGCGAGTGTTGTGTGAGAAGAGGGGGGGGAGTCGAGTCCATTATTTGAATGGACATTAACTTGGCTAATGTATTTCTCTATTTCTTAAGTATTAATTGTGTGCATATACCATCATAAAATTAAGATGTTATTTTTACTAGAACATAGGTATTGTGTTGGAAAAAGTGGAGTTTTGGGGGTCAGCTGGTCTCTATTTCATTTAATCCCATATGTTATGTTATTCACTTTGCGCTGCTTCTCACTTTCTTCCGCGTACCCTGTGGGTTACATTAACCGTAAAGTGAGGGTTGACTGAATATATATATATATATATATATATATATATATATATATATATATATATATATATATATATATATATATATAATATATATATATATATATATATATATATATATATATATATATATATATATATATATATATATATATATATATATATATATATATATATATAATAATTATGAGTTTTTTCACCTCCATCCTTAGTGCGAGATCTCCTACATGTACGGATGTATGTGAGCCTAACAAAGAGAAAATAGACAAAGCAAAAGAGAAATTAGACAACTGGCCACATACACTACGCTACAAATGATACTCTTTCTCCCCTCCGAGCGCTGCAGGAATCTTGTTGTCGGCAGAGTTGTATTCCACATGTGAGACATAACGGGTGGGGGTGTGAACCACTCGGCCGTCACATGGTGACGATTCCGTCTAGTGACACGAAATCTGTGGGAGAAGCAAAGGGAGAAGGAAGGTTGAACAGGCAAGGAATGTGGTGCTTCTCTCACGGCAGGTGCAAAGTCCTCAGGGGCGCCGGGTGGGGTGTCTGTGTCCATAGGGCCAAATGCAGGATCCTCATCAGGAGCATTAAGTACCTGAGGGAGAAAAGAGGGTACCCAGAAATGTTAGGGAGAGGTGGTGCTGCAAGCAGAAACGGTGGGCAGACTGGCGAAGGAGGTGAGGGATGAATGTGTTCAGGGAAATGGGAAGGTTGGGCAGTAGCCTTAAATGCAGAAACTGCCTGTCGTAATGTTTGTAGTAGGTCGTGACGGGCAGCAGGAGTGAAGTGGTCGAGGTTAGGAGCAGGTTTGAAGTCCCTGGGGAGGCGAAGGGGCTCGCCCAGGGTGAGAGCGGCTGGGCTGCAGTCCATGTCTTCTTTGTGAGATGCACGGATGCCAAGGAGCACTAAGGGTAGAGCATCCGTCCAGCTGTAGGGGTAGTGCTGTGCCTTGATGGCGTCCTTCAGCTGACGATGAAACTGCTCCACCATTCCGTTGGATTGAGGGTGGTAAGAAGTATTGCAGTGTCTGGAAGTGCCGAGGAATTGTAGGAGACTATGTCAGAGTTGTAACTCAAACTGGACTCCTCGGTCAGTGATGACAGTCGTGGGAGGATCAAACGGGAGACCCAACCAGTCAGGAAGGTGCAGACGGCTGACTCTGCTGTAGCATTAGGAATGGGAATGGCTTCTGTCCACCTGGTGAAACAGTCAATGTAGGTGTTGCCGCAGGATGATGGAAGAGGTCCCACGATGTCGAGGTGCACTACCTGGAAGCGTCCTTTGGGCACAGGGAAGGTTCCTAAGGGAGTCATGGGTCGATATTGTAGATATATGAGACGAATATGGCTGTAATATGTAACTCTGTACTATTTACCATTATTGATTCAGGTCTCTGTATTATATGTTTTATAATCATACTCCCTTTTGTCACCAAGTGTTAGTTCAGGCTTTGGGCACATGCGCTATGCAGCGCTGTGCGCTTAGACAGAATACCCAGAGAGATTCCAAGACAGGGCGCTGTTACCTAATGCCAACTCCTTTTGTGTTTGTACCAGAAATAGAACTTCTGGACTGACATCAGTGTGTTTCCTTTACCCTGAGTGTAAGGACCACCTGAGTATAACACAGCATGGCGCAGTGTTTAGCTGGACATCACATTATTCAGGGTAAATTTGGACACAGAATCTCTCTCGAGACGCCATCTTGTCAACTCCTCCTGTCGAGTGGTTCGTACCTCAACACGATATTCCTGGATTTACAGTGCAGTGTTGTGAAGTGCTTTTCAGTGTTGTGTGTGCCCTTTAGTGTCTTTAAAGTGTTTCCCGTGTTTCACCACTTTTTACAAAAGAGGCCTTTTAAGACCTATGGGAGAACTCAGTTTTGTCCACCCCGTTCATGTCTCGACGGCACTGCGTGTCTGAGCCAGCCAGCCCGCTAGCCAGCCCGCCTCGAGTACACGCATACGAACGAGCACACACACACACACAGGCTCGCAGATATCTTCCATTTAAAGACGATTGCTCTTCTGCTCACTTGTCAGTACGTGAGAGAAATAAATGAGCCATATGGATGATCAGGAATTTATTGGGTTTCTTCAGATACCCAAACAGCCTACCTCAGGCGGATGTCGATTTGATAGGAGTGGACTCCAAGTGGATCGGGAAGTGGATCAGCCCCACCACCTTAGCCCCCACTACACCGTCCATAATCTGCCACAGGTGTCGACTTCCTTCATTAGTCAGTTTTTGGAAGAAAACCGGCGACAAGGCGACATCAGGAGGCGGCAGAGCGATGAGCAGGCGTGAAGAGAGAATCTGGGCGTCAACAAGAAAATGCCAGATTCAGTGCCATTATCGAGTTGTTGGCACCTGTTAACCTTCAAGCAGCTACTACACCTGCCTCTTCATCCACAGGTGCACCTGCAGGGTCCTCTTCAACTTCTTTGCCCCCCCCCACAGAAAGCACTCGCTCAGAGTCCACCGCCACTCCAAGCTGATGCCTCGTTCCAGGTATTCCGTGAATGGCGTCGGAGGTGGGACGATTATTTGATGATGGTCTATTTATCAAGGTTGCCTAGGGAGAAACAGCTGATCAAGATGAGGATGTGTCTCACCCTAGAGACGCAACGTATCCTGGAGCACACCCTGCAAATTCCCCACGGCACAGACAAGAGTGTGAAGGACGTCTTGGATGCTTTGCAGACGCATATCAAGGGTCTCCGCAACGAAGCTCTCCGTAGGAGAGAAC